TTTGGTTATTGGAATTAATAATAAAAAATGGTAAAGGAAATTTTATTTAAACAAGAAAGGAGGCAGAGTAAACCAGGAAAGTAGTTATAAAGAAAAATTAAACACAACCAATATAGATTAGAGGCAGAGATGTAGAGGCAAATACATATAGAAGTAGAGGCAGATAGAGGCAGAGACAGGCACGCAGATGGCAGAGACAAGCAGATACAGCCAAAGGCATATTTGCATTTTTTTTATAACGTTAGAAACAAACATCTGGGGGAAGGGATCTGTAAGCAATTGAATCGTAATTTTTCATATAATGTAGGTTTATATGTTTTCTAATGATTCATGAATAATTATCATTTATTTTTTCATTCCCGAATTTTTTTTTCTTGTTATAGAAAAAATATAGCTTTTCGTGGGGCGAGTTCGGACATCATGCCCAGAAATTACAGGCGTCCTCTTGGCGTAAAACAAAGATCCAACTATGCCAAAGAGGCTTTAAATAAGGCTGTTGAAGATGTCAGGACTAAAAGGAAGACCCTGAAGGAGGCAGCAGAGTTCTACAACATACCAAAACCGACAATAAATGACAAAATTACAGGTAAGCACGCTAAAAAAAGTGGCGGGCAAACCAAATTAAGCCAAGAACAAGAGAGTGAACTGGCACAAGGAATTTTAACTTCCGCCGAATGGGGCTTTCCCTTAACTAGGCTGGATATTCGCCTAATCGTCAAATCATATTTGGACAGATCCGGAACAAAAATCACAGGATTTAAAGACAACATGCCCGGGAAAGATTGGTTTTATGGATTTATGTTTAGATTTAAAATTTTATCGGAGCGCCTTGCACAAAATATCAAGAGGAGTAGAGCAGAAGTCGATAGGCAAAAAGTTCAAGAATATTTTGATAACCTTCAGGCTGTTATGGGACCTATTCCTCCAGAGAACATAATTAATTATGATGAATCCAATTTAACTGACGATCCTGGAAGATCAAAGGTCGTTGGTAAAAAAGGATCCGAACATATAAATAGAATTATTGATTCTTCTAAAAGCAGCACGTCAATTATGATGGCTGCTAGTGCTTCAGGTGTTTTGCTGCCTCCGTATGTCGTATACCGAGCTCTTCATATTTACCCAACTTGGATAGAAGGGGACCCAGAAGGCACTGTATACAGTAGATCGAAAAGTGGGTGGTTTGAGACACCAATATTTGAAGACTGGTTTTTACAAGTGGTTTTGCCATATTTCCGCAAGTTAGAAGGGCGAAAGTTGTTAATTGGCGACAATCTTTCCAGTCACTTGTCATTGTTGGTGATTAAGCAATGTGAAGAAAACGACATTCATTTCATTTTATTACCCCCATATGCCACCCACTTGCTGCAACCTCTGGATGTTGCGTTTTTTGGCCCCATGAATAAACACTGGCGTGCAAACTTGATTGATTGGAAAATGAAAAATAAAGGTGTCCTGCCTAAATCAGAATTTCCTCGTCTTTTAAAGAAAACTTTAGAATCTTTGGGCCCGAATATCGACAAAAATATCAAATCTGGTTTTAGAGCTTGTGGAATTGTTCCATTAAACGTTGAAATATTTTTGGAAAAGTTGCCCGGAAAGACAGCAGAAAAGGATAATGCTAATGATCACTGGAGCCAAAGTTTTTCCGAATATTTAAAAGACTGTAGATGGGAGGAAAAAAGCGAAAAACCGAGGAGGGGTAAAAAGCTGAATGTTGCCCCTGGAAAAGGCAGATCTTCCCCAAGAAGAAAATATCATTTTTGAGGAGAGTGATGTGGAAAACATTTGCGTAGAAGAGGAAGAAAACGTTTATGAAGACGAAAATGAAATGTCTGTATTTGAGCAACCTTCTACCAGCACTTATGAGAGAGAACCAGAAGTTGATCAAAATCTCATTGAAGTGGGAGATTTCGTTGTAGTTTCCGTTCCTTGTGAAGACCAAAACAAATTTCGATATTTTGTTGGTCTTATAGATAAAATTGTTGATATAAAGGAAGAGCTTTTTTTAGTAAAATATCTTAGAATAAAAGGCGAAAAAAATAATTATTTTATATTTCCCGATATTTCTGATGAGGGACTTGCGTTTAAAAAAGATATTTTAAAAAAATTCTTCTAAAAGAAATAAGAAGAGGAATGCATTTTTTTAAGCACCTTCCCGACAACTTCAAAATAGAATAATGAGTTTATTGCAATGTTCTTTGTTAATAACATAGTTATTACGTGTTTTTTTAAATGTTTTCATGTTTTTTCGAAACTTATTTTAGTTTTATTGTTTATGTTCTTAGTTAATAACATAGTTATTACGTGTTTTTAAATATTTTTATGGAAAAATATTTGAGTTTTATTACTTTAAATAAAATTGTTCGTACCGAAATTGTGTTTGGACCCCCTATCCCCCCTAAGAAATTTTTTTTATGAAATCTGTATATATGTATATTTAATTATATTTGTCCGAACACACTCTTACTATAAATTAAGTTTGGATTTTCCTATAAATTAAAGGTGATCCGAACTTAGACCACCCATAGGGGTGAGTTCGGACACCTTTCAATAATAAAAAAAAAATAGAATTTTATGAAATATGCAAAAAACAAATACTGTATTCGATAGAGGAAGGTTTAAGGTTCTTATATTAATTTTTTCAGATTTTTACAAAAATCTAGCCTCTTGCTATTAAGAAAAAACCTTTAAAATGTGTCCGATCTCACCCCAGATTACGGTACTGCGTGGATTTATAAATTGACCAGGAGAAATGAAATCAGAGTAGATTGACCGGTTCGCGGGCCACTTTACGATAAAATGAAAGATATTACAATACGATAACGACAAAAAAAGTTGAGCACCACCAAGTTTTTGAGTAACTTGGAAAACTTATCTGATTTGATATGTCCTGTTTAATTAAGTCGGTCTCTGGTACTTAAAGTTATCTGTATGAGTTCTGGAAAATAAAAGAAAGTGAGAAAATTTAATACATTTAATAAAAATAGTAAAAGGGAGAAATTTTACATATAATAAATTAATAGTTAGTGATTAAATCTGAATAGAAAATAAAATTGACAGATAGTTTATATGAATTAATAAAATTTGCTGTTAGGTACTTAGATAAATATTAATTGTCCCGACCATGTGGCATTCTAGTACGGTAAGTACGGTACTTCCCTTTTGTATATCGTGTCGTGGACAATCCGCCTTTAGGTACTTCGATACTTGGGGCTTGGAGCTCGGAAATTGGAGAAACTACTTAACTCGGTGTTCTTGTTTCTTAGAGCTAGGATCTTAAAGCTTCCTGGAGCAACTACGTAACTAGGTACTTCCTGTTTCTCAGAGCTTAGATCTTAGAGCTTCTAGGAGTTTCTTGATTTCTTGCGGCTTCTAGGAGCTTCTTGGAGCTTCTTGGAGGAGCTTGTAGCTCCTTAAAGCTTATTGGGTTTAGAAATAAAAAGAACCTCAATACCGTGTGTAAAAGTACATATACATGCAAGTTTGGAAATCTAACGGATTTATGCATAAACGGGACAAATATTAAAGTTACATCGTCTGAACAAAATATAAAATATCACGACAAATATTAAAGTTACATCATCTGAACAGAATATAAAATATTTATAAGGCCAAAATAAGTTATAACAATAAGTTTTACATCATCTAAACAAAATATAAGCTATTTATAAGGCCAAAATAAGTTAAGAGCCATAAATTCCCGTTTAAACTGTATTTCTAGACTGACTTGTAATTCAATTATTTAGTTGCCTCCCCGCGTATATATCAAAGTAATTCAATGATAACACATTTATATATATGAGAAAGCTTAAAAATATTATTAGGGTAGCTATAATCTATATAAAATAAAATAAAATAAAGCAGTAATAAGAAACCGGCATTCGTCGGCATGGTGGTAATAAAAAAAGCAAATGGCCGATCTTTTCGGTTTTCCATTGAAATCCAGCAAAATGCAGATAATTACTAGCAACTAATTTAATACATTTATCGGCACAGCAGCACGTTGAATTAGATACACCAAAAAGGCCGGTTGAATCCAAGCGAATCGGTTTTATGACGACTAGTTGCCCAAAGAAACTTTATGGTGCGTGCGCAAACGGTGCTTTGTAAAAATCGAAAAGCGAAGCGAGTAGTAATCGTCGTTTAAGTTGTGTTACGAGGGGTTATGAAGAAGTTGTTGTTAAAAATAAATTAGAAATTAACTTAAAATTAACAATGGCTGGCGTTTTTAACAAAGGTACTATGAAGTTAGGTTCTCCACCATAAAGTAAATGGACTACCCCATTTTAACTCTAGAGGATCTGTGACTTTGGTGGTACAATGGCAACTATACTGATGTGATTGTATAGTATCAAATTCTATCTTGGAACTAAGGATTTTGTAATTTTTTGAATACAGTAACCCATTCAACTGAGATGTTACTGTAAACACCATAAACATCCAATAATTAGGCAAATGCTACTAATTTACTCCCAAACGTTACTGAATGGTGGAGCT